TTATATTTATATCATATTTTAGCATTTATAAAATGTTATTTTAATTTACTTTTTACTTTTATTTTATGTTTATTTCTAAGCTACAATATCTAAGTTTTGAGCATCTGTGACTGCTGGATTAAGCGGTTGTTGCAGGTTGTTGATGTTGTTGTTGTTGTTGCACAKGGTTGTTGTTGGTGTTGGTGGAGTGGCCGTTGTTGGGTGGATCAGTTCATCAACATGCAGGCAGTTGGCATTTTCCAATTGTTGTTGTTGTTGATGCGTATTATATTGTTGTTGCAGTTGGGTTTGTTGTTGTATCAGCGCGAGCATTTGTTGTTGTTGATGTTGTTGTTGAACCAGTTCATCACAATTTACAGCAATTATTGGCGGCACATCGGCAGCATTGTTAGTAACAGTGGTAAAATTAGCATTAGTATGGGTTAAATCAGTTGTTGGTGTGGTTGTGGCTGTGGCGATTGTTGTTGGTGTTGTTATTGTTGTTGGTATTGGGACTGTTGTAGATGTTGTTGTTGTTGTTGTTGTTGCTGTTGGATTGGGCATGTCATTGCTGGGTGTGGGTGTAATGGATGATGGAGCAACTGTGGGTGGTAACAATGATGAGATGGGTAATAAGCTAGAATTAGTATTTGCTGTGACTGGTGTTGTTGGTATTGTTGGTGTTGTTGCTGCTGCTGCTGCTGCTGCTACTGTGGCTGTTGCAGTTGCAGTTGCAGATGTTTCATTTGTTATTTCAGTAGCTGTTGCTGTTGTTGTATGACTATGACTAATGAGATTTGACTGCTGCTGCTGCTGCTGCTGTTGTTGCTGTAGCTGTAGTTGTGTTTCATGTTGTATTTGCAGCTGCAGCAACTGCTGCTGCTGCTGTGCAAGCAACAGCTGTTGCTGTTGTTGTTGTTGTTGGTGTATAATATTACCATTGCTGCAAATTTTGCTATAGAGATCCGGCGTGGCCGTTGTCACATCCTCGAATTCCGTGCGCAGCGCCGTGCGCTTCAATAAATTGAGATTGCCTGGCAAATAGGACAGTATATTGTAGATGAGGCGTATATCCTCGCTGGAGGTCCAGACGCCGGGTCGCTTGTTATGATAAAGCTTGGCATACTGATACACGTTCGCCGTATTGCAGTACTCCATCTCAATGGCCAGCGAGGAGATGGCGCAGAAGGTACACGCCTGGGCGCCGCCATATCTGAAAGGAATTCGGAATATGAAGGAATTCCACTTGGTTAAGATTGAACTCTCTCGCTCACCTGTCGACCACAACAATGGGTCCGTTGCGATAGTCATTGCAGCGCTCATGCACATCGACGATGAAGTCATAGATGCTATTCGGATTGGACATCTCGGGCCAGCTGGGGCAATGGAGCATTTTGACACTGAGCTCATAGTCGTCCTGTATGGACTGGATGACAAAATCGCGGCTTACATAGTCGCTTTTGTTGACTTTGTTCAGGAATTTGACGCGATAATAATCGCTCTCGATGGGCGTGGTCTCATCCGGCCAGAACTGGGCAAAGTTCTGCAATGAATAGAGTTTAGTGTCTGTGTCCTTATCGTGCGTAGGCGAACTTACAATATCATCCAGCGAGGAGAGCAGCACGATGGTCTGTGCATTGTGGTCCCAGACCATTTGCCAGAAGTCCTTTATCGTGTGCGACATGGGATGTTGGGTGACAATGAAGTCACGTAGACGCCGGAAGCCATGCAGCCACGAGGCATTTATGTAATCGCTGCCATCCTCACCCGGCTTGGGTGTCAAATGGACGCGACTGCCCTCAATGGGGAAGATGGCGCCGCGATTCTTAATCGAGTTCACCTGCTTCATGGCGGAGGCGATGTGTATGTCCTTTGTCTGGAATTGTATGATGTTCTTGTACTGCTGCTCCAAGTACGGAGTGCAGTTCTTGAGCTCCTCGACTTGCTCTGCTGTCAGATTGGTCTCGCCCGAGGCGATCGCCTCGACGAGCGCATCGTGCAGGAATATATACTGCTCCTCGGTCTGGACAAGGAAGTTTCGCTGGGCGCGGATGTGACGCAAGAAGCCAAACACATTCACAATCGACTTCTGCTGGATCTGCTTGAGCATGGCGTCCAGTACAATGTAGGTGCCAGTGCGACCGACGCCAGCGCTGCAAATATAACAAATAGAGTCCAATTAGCCAAGTCCAAACATATGCATTCTTATAGCCAACACTCACCTGCAGTGGACTACGATTGGACCGGCATCGGGGGGATTGGCAGCTGAGGACTTCTTGATGAAGTTCAGCACGGGCAATGGATGATCCGGGGTGCCATGATCCGGCCAGTTGGTATAGTGATATTGATAGACAAGTTTCTCCAGATTGCACTGCTTCTTCTTCTTCAGCTGAAATGGAATTCGTATTGCATTTAAATGGAAACAGAAACTCTTGGAGTTACCCACCTTGAGGTGCTTGATTTGCAGCGTGCGCACCGTGTACGTGGACATGACCTCCTCCTCGACCAGCTTCACCTGTATAACGCCATAGGTCTCGACGCCATCCTTCGGCCAATACATATCGCACTTGCGCCGTCCGCGCTCCACCAAATTGGTGATCATGACGATGATGGCCACGCGCTGCTCCCAGATCATGCGCCAGAAGCAATCGAAGGTGTCGGGCAAGGGGCCCTGGGTGCCAATGAAGGCGTGCGCCTTCTGGTATCCGTCGATGAAGTTGGCATTGATGTAGTCCAAGTTCTTCTTCTGGCCAGGCGTGGGATGCAAATGGACGCGACTGTGATCGTCTGCAGAGAGAGAGAGAGAGAGAGAGAGAGAGAGAGAGAGAGAGAGAGAGAGAGGGAGAAAGAGTTACATAGAGAAAGTACTTAGAAATAGATCTCCTATACTCTGTAATCTGTGCACTTACAGGCTGTAATGTTGAGATAGCGGTTCTTGCGCTTGTTCTCCGGATGCTGCGAGTGCTCGCAGGCCAGATCATCGGTGACGCACTCGTTCTGAATGGCCTCGTACTCGCGACTAAAACCAATATCCCCGTCCGCATGCAGCGACGCCACATGCTTAGCGAATTCATTTACGGGCACCGCCGCACGTATCTCATCTCCGATCTTGACGGGCACCTCCCAGTCCACCTGCGGCGCATTCGGATGATGTGGCGGATCGTCCAGGTAGTAGTAAGCCGCATGGAAGCACTTTCTGCTGAAATGAGTTAAGCCACAAAAGATCAAGTGTTAATTAATCAAGTTTTTGTTTTCGGCTTACGTAAAGTTGAGTTTCATATAGTATATATGTACATATATAATGGGGGTTTTTACAGATTACAGTTAGATAAGATTGAGTATATACTGTAGGTATATTAGTTGGCATATTATGGGAAAGTTTAAGATTGTATCTTTATATAATATACAAATATATGCACGTACTTTCAGATAGGAGACGTATTTCGCGGATATCGGAGTTATATAGAGACAGAATCAGTTTTCAGAGTTTTCAGAGTTTTTATCAGTTTGTCATGCCATATAATAATTTATTATATTTAACTCTTTAACTATATAAACAGCTTCACTTGCAGTTCACTTAAAACAACCTTAAAGCAGAGGTAACGAATATCATTTGAATGTTCCAGCTTTATTATTGGTCCATTTCAACGCATAGAACAGGTGGAGGAAAGGGACGGTGAGTCCTGTAGAGATGCGCGAGCCGAGTATATTCAAGTATCAGGCAGCCGCACAAAAGCGTACTTAATAAGTATTTGGCATCAGTGGAAATAGTCGGAAATGGTAGAAACGGTGAAATACCAGGTGTCAGCAGAGCTCAAAGGCATAAATGATGCCCCTGCAGAGGGGGAGTGGCAGTGGGGTAGGTGGGAGGAGTGCAGCAGGAGTAGCTTAAGTAGCATTCAATGTGCAGCGCGCTTTTAACTAAAATCAAAATTCATAAATAATAAGCTGTCCAGCAATAGAAAGAGAGAAAGAGAGGGAAGTGAGTGAGTGAAATAGAGCGAGCGAGAAGGCGAGTGCTGAGCTGCACTGAAGGACATCCGTAAGGCTTGTGGGGTGCTTTTGGTCAACATTAACGGTATTTAGTTGCAGCCAAGCATAAACAAGTAATTTTTTCTGCTCAACATTTTCCGTTTTTTTCTTAACTTTTTTTATTATTATTATTATTATTTTTTTTTTTTTACATTTTTGAATGGCAGCTGCAACTGAACTTTTTGCTACTTTTGGCATTTYGAATACCTATGCAAAGATTTTTGAGTGACAACGAGCCGCTGCTGCTTCCCAGCTGAAGAGCAGCTCGAGTGGGGAGTGGGCGTGGCATTGGTTAGGCAATTGCACCTGTGCAGTGCATGAATTGGGGTTAAGTTTTTCTAATTGGCTAAAGCAATTAGAAAGAGAAAGGAAGAGGGAGCGAGAGAGGGCTATTTAATATAGGTAGTTTAAATAAAAAAATAAAAAAT